CGTCATAAAACATAAGAGTTTTTTTTTAAATTACGGTAATAGTTGTTTTTTAAGTATATTTTATTTTAAATTATATTAAAATAATATTTTTTATTTTTAAAAAATTATTTTTAATATCAATAACTAAATACTCTTGGATAACGGATAACGAAGCAGTACCGGAAGGGAAGGGTGAAAAGAACCCTTATTAAGGAGTGAAATAGAACATAAAACCGCAAGTTTCCAAATAGTGGGAGGAGCCCGAAGCTCTCACCGCGTGCCTATTAAAAAATAAGCGGTGACTTATATATTAATTTTAAATAAATAAAAAATTAAAAATTTAAATTTAAATTTTTTAAAAAAACACTCGTCAATGCAGTGCCAACACTGCCGTAATTTTAGCAACTGGCCTCACCTCTGTTGCAACCATCGCATGATTCACTAATGGAATTAACAGTGGCTGAGACTGCCCTGCTGATGTTCATTCGGTCCGTGTATTGATGCTTCTCATTTGATCCTTCCTTTGACTCCGCCCCCATCTACTCAAACCTGCTCGTGCTTTCGCTCTTTTTTGTTCCTTTTGCTATGAATTTGCATTGTTTTCCTTCATTTAGCGGCCTGCTCAGCCTGCTCCTTTTAAGATCGTTTCGTACACTTTTCTGACAGCTGCTCACAGCATTGTCTCCCTGCAGGGTCACTGGCTTCCCAGCCTTGCCTGCGCTCAGACACCCGCGTCCAGACGTGTGGCTTATCTGTGCACAACATGTGGATCCATGCCTGCCTGCTCTGCTGCCATTTCAGTTCCCCTGTGGCTGTCAGTCTGTCACCTGCTGTTCTTTTTGGTGCTTGCATGTACTTTTTTGCTCTTGCCGAGGCAAGAAGCACATTGCCTAAAATGCCACTGTAGTCAATTTCTACTGAATTTTCTCTAAATGCTTGATTGCAATATTTATCGTTTTTTTATCAATGGTGGTTATCCTTATTCTACAGACAAATTCTTTCGACTTTCCTCCACTATCCCATCAACGCGATCTAAATCATTGCACAATCGAAAGAGAAATCTCGCGGTGAAGTGCTTCTATTTTTCTTAAGGGTGGCTCAAGAATGCTGGGGTTCAGTTTGTGTTTTGTTTGTCCATGTCTTTGCATCAGATCATTTACTTCCAAGATTTTGAGATTTAATTAGAAAATAGTAGTCATAACTCAATTTTTAACTCCTATTTTATTAAAAAATATGAAATGAAAAAAATAAGGAATAAATTGAAATTTAAACCAGGAAAACATAAATTGAAAGTTTGGGGACTCAATTCAACTTTGAATTGTTTAATTAATGGAATCACGGGCCTAATTGTTAAATATCAGAAGTTCAGGGGCCAAGTCGAAAATGACCATTTCAAGAAAACGGTGTTGTTTTTGAATCCAATATTCTTCGCCTTCTTCCTCGTCCAAGAGAGACCAGTTCATCAGGAATTCTGCGACTGTAGATTGTGGGACACGATGCAGTCTAAGTCCCCAGTTTTTATGGCTCACTCCCAGGATCATTACCACGTTCTCTGGCTTTATAAAAGCGAGAGAAAGAACAAAAAAAAAGCGACGGGAACTAGAGAAAAACATAGAGGGAACTAGGGGAAAGAAAAACGAGGAAGGACGGGGAAAGAAAAACAGAACCAGAGAAAGCATGGGTCTAGCCAACCCGCAGCACCTGCAGGACCCTTACCATCATAGTCTTCGTCCAGAGCAGGGGAATTCGAAAGCACACACCAAAAGCTTTCTTCCCGAACACAATCTCAAAAAAAAAAAAAAGGAGAGAAAAGCGAGCAGGGGAGAGAGTACAGAAATTAGGCAGACAAAACCAAATACAGAGGAGGAAGAAGCAATAGAAGAGAAAGGGAATAACCAGCCATCACGCCTTCGTCTTCGGCGTCGTCCTCCGCTGCACAGGTAACTTTCCATTCTCTGCATTCAATTAATTACCTTCATACTGTTCATGCACGCCTAAACTTACTTCACGCGAGCTTCTTCTTCTTTTGCCCAGCGGAGTCGCTGGCTTGCACCAATGACCAGATTGGGCTGGTTGGGTTAAGTCCAATTTACATGGGCTAAGTTAAATCTAACTCTAATAAAATAAAATAAAATAAAAATTATGCTTATCTTAAAAAACGATAAATGTATTTTACCAAATTGTTTACTGATGTAGAATTAGAAATTAAACACATATATACTATTATTTTTTTAGTTATAAATTTTTATCAATGTAAGAATTGGAATTATTCATAATGAGGTTTTTATCAATACTAAAATTGAAATTATTTGTAGTTGAGTAATTACTAATGTTAGAGTTAGAATTACTTAGAATGAAATATTTATCAATACCAGTGTTGGAAGTATCTATAATTAAATACTCACTGATATCAAGGTCAAGAATATTACCAATGAATTGTAATAACATAAATAAACAAAAATTTTAGCAATTTAAAACAAAATTGGCAATGCAGCTTGCTTTAAGTAAGGTGCGCTAAATGTGCTAATATCTTTCTTAGTCATAATTAGTCCCGCATCATAAAATTTCTGCTAACCAGTCAACCAGTCAAGGTTCTGAGTAACTATAATACTAGGTGGCGACTCCTTAAACGAGACCTTTTCTCATTAAAAGACAAGATGCTAGAAATTTGTTCTTTTATAACCAGTTATTTTTAGAAACGCTGCAATGTCGAGTGCCACGATAGTATTTCTTACCATTTGAAGTTTTTTACTAGACACTTGTTAAAATTAATGTTATATGATATCAATTTTTCTTAGTCATATAAATATCATTTATGTGTTGAATTTTCTTCTTTTTTCATGTATTTACTTTTCATTTTGTTAATGCTAAGTTGTTTCATCTTCATTGACAGACAATGGATTATTTTAATCATTCTTGTAATATTATGAAATAAAGAAAGAAGGTTTGATCGAAAATGACAACAATGCCCTTACAAGAGTTAGCTTTAGATGTATATGGATAAAGGACATTTTAATAATTGAACAAAGAGGTGGTAAATATAAAAGGAAAAAGTGAAAAAGAAATGAAGGAGAAGACTTGGATTTGAAGAGAGGGAACTGTAAGAAGAAGAGAAAGAAGAGGAGATAAAGGAAGGAGAAGAGAGTGAGAGAAAATAAGTTTAAAAGATAAAATGTATGTTTTGATATGTATAATTGCTAGTATTAATTAAAATTATGAATTTGTTGAAGATTAGGGTTTTGAAGATTTTAATTTGTGTTTGAATTATGAGTTGATTAGAATATTATGGGTTAATTGTTATGGATAATGATTTATTTAGTTGATTTTTGAAAAAATTTAGGCAAGGATGATTTTGAGTTATATTTTATAAAAAAATAAATTTAAGCTAGATATTTTGGTAGGTTAATATGTGATCTGTGAAAAAATCTGAGCCTGAGGTTAAAGATGATTAAAGATGATGAGATTGCAGTTTAATCCCTCAATTTATGAATATTATAGTTTAGTCCTCGAACTTTGAAGAAATTATGATTTTTTTTCTTGAAGCTAAATTTGAGATTCTGGACAGAATTTAGAATGAGTTATGGGCAAGATCTCAGTATAGTTATGAATTTATGAAATTTTTATTTTGGTCCTCTAATTTGGAAAAATTATAATTTTAACCCCTAAAAATATGAGAAAAATCTAGATCGATCACTTGTTAAAATTCTAGTTTTTCATATTGGTTTTGACAAATAATTGAGGTTTTTTGATGAATTATTATCAAGTTTTATGTTTTGTTTCCTTTTGAAATAAATTTTGAAAAACTGTTTGATTTTTAGGTTTAAGGGGAAAAGGAAGAGTTTGGTTCATAAACATATACGGTTATGAGTTATACCCTAAGTTAAGTTTATTGAATAGATTGTATATTCCTTTTTAATTGTTTTTTAGCATGTTTCATTTTGTATTTAAATATTCCTGATGTTCTACCTGCAAGACATCGGTAGAATTACCTTCGGTATATGCCTTTTTGTTATTTCTACTTTTAAGTTAGGTGAACAAATAATTTTTTATATACTAGAGAATTAATATAAATATTTGAATTATTAATATGAAATTAATCATACTTATTAGTAATTCTTGTATTGTTATTTATTCCTTGGTTATCATTAAACATGATTACTTATTGAAATTGAATATTTTATATGAACCATTATGTACTTTTGAATTGATAGTTCTTCATTAAATTGATGTCATGAGTTGAGCCTTGAGATATAAATTTGTTTATATGATTATAATATGAACATATGGTATATTAGTCAGAATATTCACGCTAACAGGATAATGTTAATTTTTTATGCACATCGTCTCTAAACTCTAGTTGGTCAGGAGAGTTACCAACATGTAGCGATTAATCATCTAATAGTACAGAGCGTTATGCTCATGATTTTTTGATTTTTTTGATAAGTCTTATCTTATAATATTCTTGTTATGGTCTATTTGAGAAATTGAGTCTATTTGGGATTGTGGTAACATTTATAGTTCAAAGTGTTTTTCGCTTAGAAATGCATCAAAATGATATTTTTTTTTATTTTTTAAAAATTATTTTTGAGATCAGTACATCAAAACAATCTAAAAATAAAAAAAATAGCAAAAAAAATTAAATTTTGATGGAACGATGTTCCTTTGTTGCAAGAACTTAAAGTTATATTTGTATATACATTTATCATTGTTGTATTACCTCGTGTATGTATATTAAACCCTCTCGTTACTTATTTTTTTCAGGTTTATAGCTTGTTAACATATCATTTTTTATGGATTTTAGAATTTTTTTTATTGTAATTAGTATTTTTTATCATGTTTAGTTAATTTTAGATATTTGTTTTAATTTTTAATTAAAATAATTAATTTATATTATGAGATTAGTTAGTAAAAATCTGTTTGATTTATATGTAAAAAAAAAATTTGTATTCAAGTTTGAGTTCACATTGCATGAAAATCTGAAGGTAAACTTTTCCCATGTACCGGCACATATTACCCGAAAACATTCAAGCTTGACTTCTGCTTCTCCTCCTTTTTGTCCTTCGGGATCTTCATACAAAGACATTACTTTAAGTAAAAAAAGGAAATGTATGGTGCAAGCACAAGCAAGAATCTTCGCACTCCTGTCAAACAGTGCATTGGTGCGGGGGGGGAATATTGCTGACTCTGTTACAATTGACAAGCTTTATATTGATGATACCGTCACTCCTCCGACAGCAGGGAAGCCTTCGAGCAATATGAAAATGCCACCTTCTGTGGTCAATTCTATTACATCTTTGAAATCTACCGCTCATGGAAGGATCGTAGCTATGTCAGGCCAGATGAATTGTCAGGGAGCTCCGCAGCACAACCAAATCAACAGAACCTCTCCCACTCCACCGCTCCACTGTCTTCAGCGAATCCCTGCTCAAAACCGTAGTCAGCCTCCTGCTCAACAGGAAACCCAATGTCCTGGTAGATTCTCAAGCCTCTTCTCCACCAAAAATTCAGGGAAACAGAAGATGATCTTTTCTATGTGGTGGGACACAGGTTATGGGAGCCACAAGGAACGTGGGTGTTGGGCATGGTGATCAGAGCTTCCCTGGAACAACCTTCTTTTTACCCAGGTACAATTTTTTCTTTTTTTTTTGGATCACATTTTTTATCCTCTAAAAGGGTAACAAAGAAGAAGAACAATTTCATTGATTTTCATTATGCAAGTGTGGGAGACGCTCATGCCAATGCTTTAGCCTAGCGCTTTTTCTCATATCAGATATGTGGTTTTGCTTTCTCTTCTTTTCAGTGTGTGTGGTATCCTTTTTTGTTTTTTGTTTTTAAATAATAAAAAGTGATCAAGTCAGCTCATACTATCTTAATTAATTTTTTAAAATTTTAAAATTAATAATTATATAAATTTTTAATGATTTTAAAATTTATAATACTCTTAACTAATACTCTCTAAAAAACAAACTTAAATCCTGATTAATTAAACTATACTCCTGTGCTTAGTATTAGCTGTTATAGTGTGTCCGGTCCTTTATATTCTTAAGGAAGCCAAGGACTACATGCTGTATATTGGTCTCTAAATAATTCATTTTGTTACGGTGGTTGACATATTTGGTGGTCAGCATCTTGGTGGTCTTGGAGTTCCTGCGGTTGCCATGGCGTTTCCCGGATATGTTGCTCAGCCGAGATGACATGGTATGCTCAGAATGGCTGTCAGATTTTTGGTTTTGTTTTCTAAATATCTTGAAGCAAACTGGAGCATGATGACCGGTGATTGAAAATAAGATTGTTTTTTAAAATGAATTTTTTAAAAATATATTAAAATAATATTTTATCATTATTTTTTAAAAATACTTTTTACATCAGTATTTTAAAATGATTTTAAAACATAAAAATAATTAAAAAATGTGTTTTTGTCAAAAATATTTTTAAAATAAAAAAACAAACGGTCTGACATTTATTGTAAGCTATTGCTATGCTCTTCTTTATACCATAATGAATTGTTTAAATGATGCTCAGGTTAGCAGTTCTGACTGGTGCTGCGGGAGCTTCAGGGGCTGCATCCTCTTCACCTCATATTTCAGTTGATGGAGGGTGCAACATTGGGGACCTAATTGATAAATTATTTTATTTTGAGACTCGATTGGAAATAGCTATATAGGCTATGGACTAAATTGAAGATTCCTGTACATTCTAAGCAGCAAATGCATAGCCTTTTCTAACCTTAGCAGTGTGATCTGCCTGTGTTTTTTCTCCCATTTAGAACACCTTTTATATGAGAATTGAAATCTGTGAGCACTTTGGCCATTCCTACATGCTTCGTTGCTTCTATTTTTCTGAAGGATGACTGGTCAAGAATGCTAGAGTTCAGTGTGAATTTATCTGCGACTCTTTTCTATAGATCATTTACTCACAAGCATGAATTTTGTGAAAGAGCAACTCCTCCCACAGCGATTGAGGGAGCTGGTGAATCCCATCACTTTGTGAATGCATGACAAATGGTAGACTGTTCTCATCTGAATTCTCCTGATAAAGGACAAGAATAAAATACCATAATATTTTTTTGTGCACAGTCTTGCTCCAAATTTAGCTCTCCCCTCTGGCAATCCGAATGAAACTAGCCGGCAGCACTTAGAGAGAGAGGGAGAGAGAGAGAGAGCTTTATGATATTCCACCAAAAAGAAAGTCTCAGCTATCCAGTGTTCACGTCGTACAAACTATCTAAAACGTGTAACAAGCATCAATCAATTAAGCTGCAGTTGAATGTGTGCTCTTTGCCTTCAGCTCTGGGCTTAGCATGCATATTGTGTAACATTTACAGCCTAAAACATCAGGTTTGTGAAGGCAAAAAAAAAAAAAAAAAGAACTTCCCTTGACTCAAGAAGACAACTTTTGAGTGAACAACCAGATTGGCAGATATATTACAAATCTAGAACAAAGAAAAAACCTGAAAATGTTACAGATAGCCACTGACAACATCAACCAAATTTGCCAATTCCCACTTCCTTCTTGATTCCTCTTTGACCATGTTATATGTAGGAATCGATTATTCCCGCAATCGTGAAATTACCTACAAGGGTAACACTATATTAATCATTTCAAATAAAAAGAAGAAGAAAGAGAGATGCTTATGCAGGAAGAATATAAGATCCAATGATATCACGTTATCATTCTTGTAGAAGGTTAAATAATATATTACAAAAGAAGGCAAATAGAGTAAACTAATTCTCAATTAGGCCACAAAGAAATACTGAAATAGAAGTTAAAAGTTCCTGAAATAATTTACTGCTAGGTATTACTGGTTTTCCATGTCAAACTTCACTACTGCCATATTGCAGGTTAAACCAGCGTTACAAGTCTGATGTATGCAAGGCTCACGGTATAATTTCTGGTGTAGATATGATACCTTGACTTGTACAACTACTCTACAACAGGCTTAGTTGAATTGGTATTTCAGGATTTAGTGTGCTTAGGGGTGCTTGTTGAGGTTGTTTTGATTGACATACATGCAAAAATACACTTCTCATATTTAGTATTTTGCAAGTATATTTTCCATAGATTTGCATAATTTTCCTTTCGGAGATGCTTGCAATTTCATTACTTGTGAACTTCCACGTTATGTTTTGCATCTTGTTGATCCAAATCATAACGTACAGCTGTAATGTATCTGGAACCTGAAGCTAAGGCAGCCAAGTGAATGGGTTAACAATGGACAAAACCATATCTAATTTCATGTTCGCTAAAATATTTCCAAACCTAAAACTAAATCTGTGATAACAAAATATTGTTGTGATAAGAGTTCTCCAGTTTCTAATTTGTAAACACTTTGAGTGTTTCAATTGTAAAAGAAACCCTGTAAACACTATAAATCAAGTTACCAGCGCTCATATTGCAAATTGAGCTGAAGCAGATATAAGAATGCTTCGAAGCATTGGTAAACGAAATTGACTGGAATGAAATAAGATCAAAAGGGAGGACAGGCAGAGCAAAAACATAACAGAATGGACAAAAAATATCCATGTTGCCAACAAATTATGCAATTTCCTGTGATTTTAAGTGGACAAATGACGCTCACAAATGTGCAATTAGTCGACGATTTCTGCTTCGGAAATAGCAATTTCCCGTTATTTTAACCATGACAATAGAACATCATGTTTCCTAATTTAAGCATTGAACATGACTTTCCTAATCTTAACTAACTAGGCTCTATCACTTTGGACCAAAACCCTAAAGAGACCCGGAATGGGAATCTCAGGATCCACCAACTTCTTCTCTGGCAGAAGCACAAACTAATGATTTCTTCCATCCTGTGTACAATACAATTTAGCAAAAGTAAAGCCCTTTATGGTTTTCCCTGGTGCAAAGGGTGACTTTGGCATCAATTCCCTAGTAAGGTTAGGGAAGCAAAAGCAGCAATTTCAACAGCTAGTTTATCCGATTCTTGCCAGGACCAGTTAGGACATTGAAGGAAATATAAGATCAACTTTTCTTTTTTCAATTTTATGTAATTATTCAAGTCACAGGAAATATAAGATCAACTTTTTTTTTTCAATTTTATGTAATTATTCAAGTCACTTTCTCTACTTACTTTCATAATTCTATTTCATATTTAGTAGCTTTTCCAACAGCTTACGGGGTCTTCCTTCCTATTTAGAAGTAGTTGCCTTCTACTACAACGAGATCTACACATGCATGATTGGTAAATTAAATTGAGGTTCCAGGGATTAGGTTCTCTTTGGTTTTTGTTGCTTGGTTCCTACTTCACTTTGTTTTATATCGGCAAGTTTTTATGCTTAACATGAAACATATTTTTTTTTTTTTGTGGTTAAGCATTTATATGATGATCAGGTACAACAAATGGTTACCTTACAAACATTATAGCATCATATAACCTTTTATCTGGGAAAAATGTACGAGAGCATGGAGACCATAGGTATAATCCGGAAATTTCAAGAGGTAATTTAGATTCAAAAACAGAAGCCAGGGGAGTGGCTCAAAAGTTACTCAACTCTCCTGATTTTCCAGTCCTCTTTTGGAACTATGTATCAAATTCCTAATAGGTTAAAGATTTCCTATCGAAAAAAAATCTTTGTTTAAAATAGCATTTGTTTTACTAAGTGTAGGATTTCCTTTTTGAGTATTGTACAAGTAAGTTTGTGCTCCTTCTATAAACCGACGATAGAATCACAAGTTCAAAAGTGATTTTGGTGTGGCCTTTTGAGCCATATTTGAGAGATTTTCTTGGACCCTTTTTTTGGTAGAATTTTTGTTTTTCTCCTTAATTTGAGTAATTTTTGTTGTGAGAACTTTCTCAGGGTGTAATTGGATTTTGGGCTTACAAGTGAGATGTGGTTGAGAGATTTTCTGGGGCAAATCTATCAGTGATTGTAATAATTTGGATTACTGAGTTTTTGTGCAGACAACTGCTAAACCACTGTAAATCTTTTGCGCTTGTTATTTATTTTTAGTGGAGTTGCCACCTTCAAAGGAAAAAACCGTTGCGTAACTACTTATGCCTGTTGGTACAAATTGCAAGCCTAATGCATTTACCATGCAGAATATTCCTAAGATTCACCTGAATTTAAATAGACCTATACATGTTTGAAGATGTTCCAGAGTTGCCAGAAAGGTCAAGTCAAGAACAGCGCTGCCCTATCACAATTCAAAGCTAACAATTAACACCATAATGAGTCATGTCAAAGCCGCTAAAATAAACACTATAATGATGAATAACAAGAGCACATTTTCAAGATAAGGTTTAAACAGCACATGCATGCATGCTCTGGTAAGAAATTGTAAGCTTTCAAGGGCAGGGGGTTGTGGAGAGCAAAGGACGGAGAAACTACCCCCGATTATAGCACAAACACTTGCCATGAAGTGTAAAAATGAAATGGGCTCCTCTTTGAATATCACCTGCAAAATGCAAAAAGTTCGATAGATAGCAAATGATAAGCAACACCAAGTGGCTGCTTGTTACAGCAACATTTTGTGTACTGACGATCAAAAGATTGGAAACAAGTAGATCACTGTTTTTTATTTTTTCTACCACTTTTTCCCCCAAGCACTTCTATTATATTTATTCACCGGACAAGTTCCTAAAGAACTTTCTAAAATCCAACAAAATAACTTCATTTTTGTGCATGGTTAAAATATATGGAACATATAAACAGTGAAAACAAACGACATTGGTTTAAATAACAACAGCCAACAACATGGAAGCTTTTCAATAGTAACAATTGCTGCACCAACATAATAATGAAAGACTCCAGATAGATGCTCAACAAGATCATATTATATGCACGAAGGAACACACCTTAATTGGAGAAAAGTCATAGAAGAAGTAAACTCCAGGAAGAGAATCAAGGGGTGTCAATTCTGATTTCTTGAAATGCTCTGTGACAGAGTACTGCAAAACAGCCATGCTACTTCAGCACATGATGACAGGAATAAGCCAGAAGGAACATATTCGTGATCTTTAGATTTTTAGTAATACCTGATCTGAATGCACAGTGCGGCCTCGAATATCAGTGTATATTATAGGGACCACCTGCAAAGTTAAAACTGTAATTCTATTGAAACATTGCCAGCTACATTTAAGATGATGATGCTACCATGACATTGCTAAAGGCAAAACTGGTTGTTCACGTTATCCAAACTTCAAAACTATTACATATATATTATACATATATCCAGTAATCTCCCATAAACAGTCAAAATGCATTGCTCTCGTATGCTAATAGCCTATGAACAAAAAAGACAGAAAATGTCTGGAAATCCTCACAATTAATGGGTACAAGGTACCAAAAAAACATAATTAACCAGAAAAGGTGGAAGACAACTGAAAAATTCTCAAGCGATATTCTTTACATTCTTGGATTTAAGCAATAAAACTAGAGGAATGCACAACTTTGGATGGAATTCCCAATCAAAAACATTGATTCTTTTAACATTGGACAGGACTCAGTGCAAGCATGTAGAGTCAGAATAATGCATTGGTATTAACAGTACCAGCCTTGATGAAAAACTCCTGCACGCCATTTGGTGTGTCATGCATCAATTGTATCCTGAACAAGGCAATAGATTAAAACTATTAAGACAAAAACGCAAAAACAAATGTGAGGGAAGGGGTGGGAAGATGAAATTAACAAACAGGAAACATCCAAAATGGAAAAGAAACTTGACTTGACAAAACATAAATCACAAGTATCTATTTTCAACACAAGTGAGGCTATCAGTCACTCAAACACACACAGAACATTTCATGACAGTGACATTACCTAATTGAAATTTCATACAAGGAAAAAAAGTGTAGGAGAAAGGTTATTTTACAAAATTCCACAAGAAAGAAAAAAGGTAAATCATAACTGAAGTATTTTAGTGATGTAGAATAATTATCCCATGAGTCTATAGACCATATTAAAGCATAAAATTACTATGTTCCTGTTTTTGTTATTTTCCTAATTAATTTTGAATTTTAATTATTTATTTTCTACTTAGTTTAGAACTTTTAATTTAATTAGTATTTTACTATTTAAAAATCCTCGTGCTAGATATATTCTATTAATTAGGTAAATTTTAATTAGAAATCATTTTCTATAAAGAATTTTAGTACCAATATAAACAAATATAAACAGGAATGTCTAATTTTTTTTTATGAGAATCAAGACTACTATTTAAATGTCAATAAAAATACTAGACAATTTTCTCTAGAATTCTCCATAGTTTTGTATGTAATTAGAACCCTAGGTTTATCTTCGCTATACACTGCATCAAGTGATATCAGAACATGTCAACATTCAATTCAATGACAAATTGTGAAGAGAATCGTGGAGCATTAGGTGACAACCATCTCAATGACATTGATTAGGGGATGCAAACTATTTGGGATCAACTAAATCACTATTCAGTAGCAACAATGGCTTTAAAGAGATGAATGCAAACTGGGCTTGGTGACATCAATAACAGAGTTCATGACCTTACAACCAGGCTTAAGGCACTGGGGTTACACAAAAATATGAACCAAGGAAAAGGAGTAACATGACAAGGATGACGCTCTCGGCCAGCCTGTCCTTAAACCGGTCCGTGCAAATTCTCATGGTCAGCATGACAATGAGTGCTCATCTAATGAAGAAGATCGAGGTGATGTTGCTGGAAATAATAGGTATAATCAAAATTATTGTATGAAGGTTGAGATTTTTTCTTTTGGTGGCGATATAGAAGTAGAGGAGTTCCTTAATTGGTAAGCTGAATGTGATCTATTTTATAAGCATATAGGAATTTTAGATTCAAGGATGGTAAAGATTATAGGATTTATATTGAATCACAAGGCCTTTGTCTAGTTGGATAGGCTATTGAAAACTAGGAGGTGCGAAGGTAGAATACCTATTAAGACTTGGGAACGGATGAAGCAGTTGTTAAGAGGCAGATTTTCGCCCTTTGATTATGCAAACTTGTATTCCATAAGTATCAAAAGTGTTCCCAAAATTCTCGAACCATGCATGAATATACAGCGTAATTTTCACACCTAACTGAATGAAATAATCTGCATGAAACTGATGAGCAACAAGTTGCTTGGCATGTAAAGTGACTGAAACTTGCCATTAGAGAGAATTGGGCTTCAAATCCTACTAAATGTTGTCAAGGGATGAAATATGGTTGCAAGAGCAGAAATGTTAATCTAAAATAGAACCAAAATGAGATTTGATTATCTAGGGAGGGTTCTTACCGTAAAACCTCGACTTACACCTACCAAGAAAGGTAAGTTGCCACAGACAAACAGTCAATCCAAGTAATTTGTCTTGTACTCTTGAAATCCACTGTCCATTTATTATAAAAATTGAGGACCCGCTTTCTTTCAATTCTAAATTTCAAATCACTTGAATTATTGGATTGACTAATTTACACCTTCGAGAACTAAACTCATTGATTAGTGAATTTGAAGATGATTTTTCTTCTTAAAAAAAAATTAAATAAACAGTAACTTTTCCTCTCAAAGAGAACAGGTATTTTTTATTTTATTTTATTTTTTTGAAATTTCTTACCATTCTTAAACAATTATGATGCACAATAACATATATATATATATATATATATATATATTTCCCATAATTTCCGAGTTAATTAAAACATATAATTAGCACTCGTATTTTTAGAAATTACACATTTAATTATTATATTTTGTTTACTCATTTATAGATTAAAATATTTTTTTCTCAAGAAATAGAAAAGAAAAGTGGATAGTATTGAATGATAAACATTTTTCAACAAAATACTATTAATTAAGCAAGCATGACTGCCACTGATTAAGGAATTAACCTATTAATTTTTAATACTATAGGTATGAATTTGTTTATTTTGATAAACTAGAAGGGCTAATATGTTATTTTAATACCATAAACAAAGCGGCAATAATGAGGAACACATAGATAGAGGAAAGGGAAGAAAGAAGCGATATAATTTGTCAGAGAAAGGGGAAAAGGATGAGCTTGACATTGATCCAAGGTTATTCTTCTGCGGAAGAAGAAGAAGCGGCAGCAGCAACTGAAGAGGAAGAAGATTACCAGGATTTTTCAGAAGAAGAAGAAGAAGAAGGGCATTCAGGCAGCCGTTGGAAGGCTTCATACAAAGCACCCGCCAATGGATCGTCATCCTCTTCTTCCATCCTTCCCTCTGCTATAGACGCTTTCTCCCAAGTAGTTTATATTTTTTAAAATTTATTTTCTAGATAAATTCAAGAAAGTGAGATTTAGGGTTTTGTTTCTTTTGTTTTCTTTTTTCTGGAGGTTTCAGGGCCGCCCCAGTTTCTTAGTAATTCTGTGGAAGAATATGGGGTTGGAGCTGACCATAATCAGCAACAGCAAGGGAAGCACCGAAGGACATGGAAGAGGAACAGTAATAATAATAATTATAATCAACGCAAGGACAAGAAGAAAGACTTGCCTTCTGGTAAGTTACTAATTTTCCCATTTCAAATGTTTGTCGTTTTCATGTATTATTGTCTTTCTTATCACACTTAGTAAGCTAAATGTTCTCACCACAATAGTGAGAAGAAAAGAGGGATGGAGGAGGATTATCCTTTTGGTACCGTACCAATCTAGATCTAGAGAACAATGGGGTTTTATTGCTATAAAATGTGCTCTGTCGCCCCCGAATGAAGGGACAATCTCGTAGTTGCTTGTCTGTAAACTTATTGTCAACATAAAAGCTGCAATTCGGTAGCGACAAGGATTTCGTTTATTACAGGCCTGCTAGTTTATCAGAGAATCTCGTTAGGATGTGTGCTACCAATGGAGTTTCAAAATAGTTCCATGAAAAATGTTTGAGCTTGAAACTTGATTTTAGTATAGCTGTTAAATTAATGTTGTATGGTGTTCAAAGAGACAAGCTTGATTTGCTTCCTCGAGTCAATAAGGGAAATCAACTCCATGCCTCTTATATCAGCTTTTATCAAGCCTGCACATTAATGGAACCACACGTTCATTGCTAGAAACCATCTATGCCGTCCATGTAATTATGCAGGTAAACTGTCAAGAGGGTCAAAGCACAATGACCATCTCAATTACCAAATCTCACCATAACAGAATCACATATATGATATAACTGAAATCATATTACAGTGAAATTATGCCAGAAGTTTAAGATTGATCTCTCTGTTATTCTATTATGCCTCAGTCATGATTAAATTTGCCTTCCATTTTCACCACAGTGAGGCTATTACATGCATCTGCTTGATCAATAATTTATCTGATTTCACACTTTTATCTGTCACCAATAGTATGATGAGTTTTTATTTTGGCTAACCATTTATTTGGTCAGAGTCGATGTTGTTCCATATGGAGGACAAAAATTTTCTCATGTGTGTTGTGCACAATGTAGGAGCTGTGGTGGAGGCCAAACCTGCACTTGTTGGAATTAGTGAGCGAGTAAGGAGTGATGTTGGGGCCGGTGAGCTTTCACCATCAGTTCCAAGCACTATTCAGGAGGGAGGAAAGCGTATCTCAACTGCTACCAATCCTGCAGCAGAAGATGCTGCGGAGCTACTGAGGTATATCTTCACATCTTTTGCAACATGTATTTAAGCTATGACATGATTTTATAGTTTGTTCTCTCCGTTGCATCACCTCGAGCTGAGGGTATATGTTGATGATTTAGATATGTGTGATAAATGGGGATTCCTGTTGGTTGCGGTCAACTGTTATCTTGAAAGAAACTAGTTTGCGTTGGTTAACTATTATTTGGTGTTTGTGCTCCAACTTAAAACATACCCCGACCTCCAGTCACAAACTCTTCTTGTCCTCCCTTTTGTGTTTTCCCTGATAAGGTAGTCCACCAATTCCTTTTCTTTGTCTGGTTGAAACCCTTTACATTTCTCTTGGCATAATCTCCAGCATGTGTTTGCCAAACCTCATTCGATATTTGCCCACCTAAGGTGGAGTTTTGGAGTTCTGGCTGTAGACAGTAGGACTAGTGGTTCCTGGGCCATTGTATGGCCAGGGGAAAATTAAGGGATTTTGAACTTTGACTAGTACTGACAGAAGAATAAACAAAATCCAGAAGCCTTCGATTCTTCTTGTTTTCTTATAGCCTTGTGATGATTTTTTTAAAGTATCTTCAATAGCGATTAAGTTTCTTCTGTTCTAAAGTTCTTTAACCTGGTTCTAGGATGTGCCTGCAATGTGGAATACCCAAGACATTCTCCAGTGCAAGTGGAATGGTCTGTCCTGTTTGTGGTGATCGCCCACCTAATGACACAAGCAAAGAATCCAAGAAGAAAGGTTCTGCTATCAAAGATAAGGAAAAGAGTAAGAGGATGAAGGGCCAGTCATCTCATGCTACTTGGAAAAGCGAGACAGAGATGCAGCTCAGGCAGCAGTTTGACTAGCCTTGTTTAGAGAATGGCTCCTTGGAAGCCTGTGGTGACAGTTGTGTTAGGATCAAGGATCACTGAGGAGAGCTGTGTAATCGTTGTAGTTTATTCGACATCTAGCAGTGAAGTAGCTGGTTAAATTATATATCAGGGCCTTTCCATTATTTGATGACTTGAAGTTGTTGCAGTGTTGGTCAATTTCTTCCAAAACATTTGCCATGCAAACATACCTCCATCGAGTTGCATCATCTGCTCCATTTTACCTCAAATTTGGGTGGGAAGATTTCTGTAGAATGTTTGGATTACCCCAACCGTAGTCCATAAATTACCACCCTATGATCTCAAACAAACAGGGCCTTACTGGCATACCTCTGCGCTATAGAGACCTGAAGGTTGAGATGGTTGGTCGCCTGCCCCGCACTGCTACTGTTCAAAGACCCTTTCAAAATCATTTCCAGTTGCATTTGAACGAGGGGCGAGCAACGTTTTAGTTTATATTAAAAAAAACCCAACCAAACTTAATTTTCTTACAATTTTGAAATCAAATAATTTAACTAAACCATCAAGTTCGGTTTACATTTTTTACCTTTTAATTGGACTATTTTTCTTAAGAGATTTTGATTCAAAGAAATTTTGATTTTATTAATTTTAAATTGGTTTTTATCCCAGTAATTTAATTAAATGGGGAAATTTTATATTACTTTTAGTGAAATTTCATTAACATATCAGTTCATTTGTTTTTGTATTTAAAAAAAAGTATTTTTTTAATTTTTTTGTGTTTTTAGATGATATTAAAAATAAAAAATATTATTTTAATATATTTTTAAATAAAACATATTCGTACAACGTTACCAAACCCCTGCAAGTCCAACCCCTCCATCCCCGTTGTGACTTTCAGAATGATATTAATATTGACAGAAGTCCTTAATTAAAATTAAAAATAAATTTGTTTAATTGTAAAAATAATACTAATAATTACGTAGGTGATGGGTCTTTTTGAGGTTTGCCCCCTCTCCAAATACTAGTGCGACGACACTGCTCCAGCCTTGGCCCGATCGATAGCCGGCAAGCGAAGTCCAATTTCCTTCATAAACCTGTCTCTCTCACAGAGCAACTCATAAAATTTTGAGAAGAATGGAGGAGGGCAAGCGGAAGCGCCCGTTCCTTGAAGACATTGAAGACGATGACAAATCCAACAAGTAATTCCACTATTTTTCTTTTATTTCCTTC